TTGTCTCCACCCCGAAGGGTTAAGACATGTTAAGACGCAAACGGGGCATGGGGGTCCGCAAGCGTCATGGCCCCATGCAAAGCAGAGCAAATGCAGCAGAGGCAGCGGCAGGAAGACAATGGAGAAGAAATAAAGCAATACTTGCAAATGCGAGGAGGCCTAAGTCGTAGTTTGGTAAGCTGCCGAGCGGTGAGGCGGACCCGACGAGTAACCTTCATGCAATCAGGAAGGTGGCGACGCAGAGCTGCCAGTGCCGAGGGAGTCGAACTCCAAGCACAGGGGGCGAGCTCAAGGGCGACCCACGGCGCGCCAGATGCAGAGGGAACGATGTTCCAGCACCGAGGGCGGACACGGAACAGGAATAAAACTAGAATGACCAGATCAGCCACAGTCAGCCGCAGCACTACCAGGCGAGTTCGGGCGGGCAGGAGGGTTGTTCCACCGAGCCGCAAAGACACCGAATGCCCGCAGTCCCCAGGCCAGCAAGGTTCATCAAGCAGACATACGCGCGAAGTCCTAGCCAGAAGTCAGCCAATTTCAGCCGTAGGCCAGTGTCTACAGGAGTTGCAGACTGCACATTAAGTGAGCGGAACTGTTACAGAGTCCTTCAATGTTTCCAATAACGCCGAGCTGGGGCCGATCCCACAGATCACTCGCCCTTGAGCCGGTGACCGAGCACGGAATGCCATTCATCAACTTCAGGCAGAAGCATAACAGGGCCATGGATGATCAGAGTGGCGACAAACCACGGAGGGTGGCATACATCGGGACGAGGTCCCTTAGTACCGCCCCCGGGGTCCACACCCACCCTGAGAAACCGCGACCCGGAACACAGCTAGGCCCCGGGGGACATCTACATTTACAGTTACATTTCTAAACTCATACACATCTAACTATATATGCCTTAGTAGGGACTGGGACAGAAGCGGAGCGAGAGAGAGAGAGGGACGAAGAGATGTAAGCTTAAGATTTAAGATGGAGGCTGCGAGAGCTGGGGGCCACAGTAGTTTCTGCCAGTTGGCTGACACGCCGCCCCGCGACCCTTTTTCGGCATCTTTTCGTTCTTCCTGCTTCGATATTTTTCTGTCTGGCGTGCTTTTTCCTCGGTTTTTTTTGAACATTTCTTGTCCTTGTTTGTTGTGCGTTCTTGCTCTGCTGCTCATTTTGCTTGAGCAAAAATTTTGCTCTTCTCGGGTCCAAAACTCGAGTTTTTGCTGTTTTGGAGCACGTTTTATACTGGAAAAGCCGTTTTGACTGCATTTTACGTGCAATTCGCCGTTTTTTCTTAGTGTTTCTATGCTTTCGCAGCGTCGTTATGACTCCGTTCTTGGCCATAAAGCATCCATGTGGCAACCATGTTAACCATGTGGCAACCATGTTAACGTCCACAACGAGTCCGTCGGTTTTTGCAGAGCATCCATGTGGCAATCATGTTAACATCCAGAAACGCTCCGTCCGTGATTGCAGAGCATCCATGTGGCAACCATGTTAACGTGCAGAAAGACTCCGTCCGTTTTTGCAGAGCATCCATGTGGCAACCATGATAACATCCAGAAAAACTCCGTCCGTCTTTGCAGAGCATCCATGTGACAACCATGTTAACGTCCAGAAAGACTCCGTCCGCTTTTGCAGAGCATCCATGTGGCAACCATGTTAACGTCCAGAAACACTCCGTTCGTTTTTGCAGAGCATCCATGTGGCAACCATGATAACGTGCAGAAAGACTCCGTCCGTTTTTGCCGAGCATCCATGATCATCCATGTGGCAACCATGTTAACGTGCAGAAAGGCTCGTCCGTTGTTGCAAAGCATACATGTGGCAACCATGTTAACGTCCAGAAAGACTCCGTCCGTTTTGGCAGAGCATCCATGTGGCAACCATGTTAACGTCCACAACGAGTCCGTCGGTTTTTGCAGAGCATCCATGTGGCAACCATGATAACGTCCAGAAAGGCTCCGTCCGTTTTTGCAGAGCATCCATGCAACAGGTTAACGTCCAGAAAGAGTCCGTCCGTTTTTGCAAAGCATCCATGTGGTAATCCTGTCAACGTCCAGAAAGACTCCGTCCGTTTTTGCAGAGCATCCATGTGGCAACCATGTTAACGTCCAGAAAGAATCTGTCCGGCATCCATGTGACAACCAGGTTAACGTCCAGAAAGACTCCGTCCGTTTTTGCAGAGCATCCATGTGGCAACCATGATAACATCCAGAAAGACTCCGTCCGCTTTTGCAAAGCATACATGTGGCAACCATGATAACGTCCAGAGAGACTCCGTCCGTTTTTGCGGAGCATCCATGTGGCAACCATGTTAACGTCCACAACCACTCCGTCCGCTCATCTGGCAGCCATGATAACGACGCTACCAGAAGAAGCAAAGCTTCGCCAATCCCTTGACGTGGAGCTAGGCGTATGCTTTTCAGTGGCGCCACAACGTGTGCCTCAAGAGTTCCGTTGAAGAGGCGTTGCCTCGTGCGCTCTGGCGCCAGTGTGCATCCGAACTGGGGTTCGTTCGTGCGCAGTCTAAAAAGACTCCTCCTTACTGGGGTCATGTTTTTTTGCCTAACTTCCCTTACCTGCCAAAATAGCGCTTAGAAGCCAGAATGCCGTAGATTACAGTACTTTCGGGTTTTCGGAATGCGACAAAACGCAGGGCGGCAGGTCAGCCACCTACCTAGTTCAGTTGAAACCGTACTAGCATCGGCGGATTGCAGGCTGGTACAGGCGATTCACGAACCCGAAGAGCCGCGAAGCGGGCCTTAGCCGGAGGGGTGTTGAGCCACTCTGGCAAGTGTAGGTCGAAGCCTGCTGGATCCACCTGGGACTTGTTCCGTTCTCTTGTCCATCTTAGGATCCTGAAACGAAGGTTACAAGAACCGCCGCATAAAGGAAGCCCGCATGCTAGAACATTAATCGGAACTCCGGGAGCGGACATCCAGGCATGACCAGGCATGCTCGTTCTATCACCCGATTCAGAGTTCCCAGGAAGCTGCCTGCAAGGCCCAAGCACGACGCAGAGCACGAGCGCGCGACCATGCGGACATCGAGCGCCGTCAGGGCGAAGGAGACCCCACGCATCTGACAGGTTTCGGGCAGCTCGGTCTAGGGAGGACCTTTGGGGATGTTTAGGGTCTCGGGTGGGGCTTCGGGTTTAGTGTTTCGAAGGTTCGTGACTGGCGGACAGGTGCTCACTCCTCGATTCTTGCGACGACTCGGACGCTTGTCCTTGGATGACCGGTCTCTGAAGGACTCTGTAACAAAGGGGTCGGCGAGGAAACTGCTACCGGAAGGCGGCTGGCAGCTGAAACCCCCGTCTCAGAGCTTGTCGTCCATACCGGGGATGTTGTAGTTGTCTGAGACCTGCTGGTAGGGCCCATGGGTGCCGATGAGACCCGCGATGGTGAGGAACATGCCGGGGAACTGGCGGTAGGCTTGGATGTTGGCGTTGTTGATGTCAACCTTGTCTGTGCCTCCCAAGTACTTGATCCCATCATCGTTTCGGAAAGTGTGTCACGAACAGCACGATGACAGAGCCGTCACTGTGCACCCGACAGTGAAGGACGCCTAAGCCTCAGCCCAGCGTCGCGCACAACGGTTGGAGACCTGTTGTGCTTGCTGCTCCCACTTCACGAGCTTGAACACACCGTTGTCGGTCGCTGCCTTGCACACGAGAAAAGGCCCGAGCCCGAGCGGCACGGTCCGCATGTGCGTTGAGGGCACGCCCTGCCAGCTCGCCGCACGGCGGAGGAACCCACCGGCGCCACCTTTGCATGCGAAGGGACCCACCACAGACCAACCTGGAGGCGCGGCTGTAGCTGCTGAAGCGTTTGCAGTGCACGAGAGGCCAACAAAAGAGCCTTGCCTCCGCCCTGCAACACAGTCATGGCCGATTGGCAATCAGACACCATTTGAACACGGCCGCGAGCACCGCAGATCGTCAGGGCCTTGACCACCGCGATGATGGGAGGTTTGGTCCTCCCCTGCCACACCCAAGGTGAAAGGATCAGGCTCCCTCCACCACCACTGAAAACGCTGCAACATTGTCGATGACACTGCCGTCGGTCGCCACGAGAAGGCTGCCCTTTGCATCGAGGTGCTTCTTGAAGATTTCCGCCAAGTCCTCGATGAAGCTCTCGTAGTCCAGGACACCTGGGGGTGCAGGAGTTTCGGGCACGGAGCACGCCAGTAGCCTCTCCTCCATGCGGTTCTCGGGCTGTCGTACATCCTGACGGAGGTCGGAGATACTCTCGCACGCCCAAAGTAAGTGAGGATGGGAATGCATGCATCAGAGTGCATCCGGCGATCCGAAGCATGCCGGCGCTTACGCTTGTGCCAAATCGAGCATCCAGTGACCATGGCCGGCGGTCGAAGACATCTTTCGATAGTCCTCCAGGCCTGCTTGTGCCCGGCAAAGATCGCCAGGGTGTTCCTTGGCGGAGCTGGGAGCTGCAGCCCTTGGGCCAAATCCTCGCCATCCTCCGGTCGCCGTCGCAAGTCTTGCGTAACTCGGCTGCGCGGTGCCAAGCCCCTCCGCCGGCAGACGCAAAGCCACTCCCTGAGGACCTCCTCGCCGTCGACATGATGTACTCGGCCGCATGGTCGTGCCACCATCCGCCACCATCCCATCATAGTCCTAGTCCACCATCGCCGGAGCGGCACCTGGTGCGACGGCCACGGCTGCCGCTGCGGCGGTCGAGCAAAGCTGCTGCTTTTTGAAAATCAACCAGCCCAGCACAGCACCAACCCCGAATCCTGCCGAACGTTGGAGCCATTGCAGCTCTGAGCATCGAAAGTTGGCTCAAGCGGCTCCAGCGGCACGTGCGCGGCCTTACCGCTGGTAGTGGTGACACCGCTACCAGGTGCCACAGAGGCCGCCACTGGGACCAGAAGCAAGGCGGCAAGCAACGCACGGGCCATGACGTGGATCCCTTTATGCCCCTAAGCGCCTCCTCGAAAAAATCCAAAAAAAAAACCTGCGGCGAGACCGTTATGTTCGAGTTCAGAGTCCGACCAGGGCCCTGGCAGGAAGCTTTCAACACCTTTTGTGCTTGGGGTTGAGAAACATTAGGGGTTAGCCCAATTCTGCTCGCTCCTTTTTCGATCTTGTCTCCCGTTCTCCGCTCAGCTCGAGAATCCTCGGGCTCGAGACCGCTGGCTGAAGGCAACTGCTCACCCAATACCTGCCGTGCCTCTGCAAACTGAAACCATGAACTCTGGCACTCATACCAGCTTTCATCAGCTCATTCCCTCAAAATTTCGAGATTTTCAGCTTGCTAGACGGCTCTCAAGCCCAGCAAAAACTGTAAAGCACACCTGAATCCGAACCTCGGCGTCCCTAAAGCCCCATAATAGCTGCAAGTGAGGCGCCTCCATCCACCTCAAGGGATTTCCACATGGACTGCGATGCTTCGGGCGTGGGGACTTCGTGATACCGTAAGGCGCTTAGCTGATTCTTCTGGTACTTCTTGCAACCTAGGGCCCTGGGCCGACTCCGGACAGCTTCAGGCTTGCATTGCAGGCAGGCTTTTGTATTCCATGCATTTAAATTCAAAAGATCCCGTGACGGGCATTGGCTTAATTACTCGGTTGCTGCCCTTGCATCTACAGTATCCACGACGTCCCACACGACGAGCAAGGAGCCTTATGGCCTGTTGTTGGCGAAAGTTGGCGCTACGCAGCCAATAACACATCCCCTGAAGTCTGCACATTTTTCCTAGGCTGCAAGCAGGGCATGGATCCGCGACAAGAGCAAGAAGAATTTAGGGCTGAAGGATAGCAACAACCATAAGAAGAGTAATAAGAAGAGGAGTATTAGTAGGTAGTGATAATGGTAGTGGTAAGAATAGTAACAATGATAGTAGTAGTAGTAGTAGTAGTAGTAGTAGCAGCAGCAGCAGCAGCAGTAGTAGTAGTAGTCGTCGTCGTCGCCGTCATAGCAATAATTTTTGCCTTGGTACACTTCTCGAACTGATAGCAATAATAGTAGTAAAAGTAATAATAAAAGTACTCATAATAATAACAACAATAATCACTATCGTTATGATAATGAGAATTAGAATTTGGACTCTCGTGACTCGAAGGATGCAGAAGTAGAATCTTAACATCCTAAGAAACTGTAACACCTCCCGGTAGCCGGGTCGCTGCCTCGAGCGCCCTGGGCCGGCAGATGCTCGCAGGGCATCGTGCATTCGGACAGCACCGGGCCTGATCACGGAAGACAAAGTCGGAAGAATCAGAGAGGTCGAAACCTCGAGACCCCAACCCCAAGCCCTACTATAAGGCTTCCAAAGGTTTCCTTCCTCTGTCGCCGGCCTAAATCGCCAGAGCCATGCAAAGGCCATCAGGGCCACCGCCTGCTGCCAGTAGGATGCCCGCCTGGCACTACTCAAACAAAGGCTTCGGGTTTTTCTGCCTGGGGTTTTGGGTTTTTGGATTAAGGCTGGAAAGAAGGGACCATCAGCAGAGAATCCGAACCGGAGAGCCTGAACTGTCTCATGCACGCAGCACCAATCTGCGATCTGCGAACCACTGCGCTCACCCTGTCCACAAAGCCAAAGTAGCACATCCACATCCGTCAAACGGACCCGTTAACCGAACCCTCAGAACTCTGAACCGTTAAACTCGCAACATCCACGCCCACAGAAACCCGAAACCCAGCCCTGCATGCCAAACAGCCCGCCCAGCCTGCAGGAAGTGAGAGCAGGCATCAGGAGGTCCTGTGGCATTGGAAAGCTTCAGAGTTTTCACACCCATGTCTAGCACCGTCTGTGCGTAGAACACCTATGTATGTATGTATGTATGTATGTATGTATGTATGTATGTATGTACGTGTGTACGTATGCAATGTGTTGTGTATTCAGTGTATCTATGTATGTATATATACATATATACACAACTACATACATATTTATTTATTTGTGTACTTGTTTGTTGATTTATCTATATATTTGTGTGTATGTATGTACGTACATACGTGCGTCTGTATGTATGTATATCTATGTTTGTATGAATGCGACATACGTATGCATGTAACTATGCATGTATTCCTGCATGCATGTTTGTAGCCGTGTCCTATCGAAGAATGAAACTACTAGTCGTTTGCCTCATACTCAGAGATCCCAACATCCCTCAATTAGGGAATATACCTTCAGTTGCAGGGGCCTTAATGTTATGATTTAAAGTATCTTCCTTAATTAAGGGGTATCGGGATCTCTGGCTAGCCAACGTAGCGCCTCGGCCTCAGGCATGCCGGAGTTTCGAACCCTCATCTGCCAGAACCAAAGCTGGCTACCACGGAGTAGAGAGCTCAAAAAAAGGAAGGCACGAGGGCTTAGGGTCTAAGGTCTTAGGTTTAGCTCAGTTTAGTTTAGGGCATGATTAAGCATGGACATGTAAATGAACCACTGTCAACATGCATCTGTTGCAGAAAACGTCATGCAAGAGTCTCAGATAGGGGCCTTGTCGTCCAGGTCTGCCAGCGCGTGCCTGAAGAAACAATTGCATTCCGCGCCTGACTTTACATGTAAGCTGTGCTTTGAACATCCCGAAACAGCCTTTGGCAGCAGGCTTCTGTCGGCCGGAACCTAAAACCCCAGACCCAACTCTTGCCACAGCCTGTTTCGGCCTAAACATCCCCAAGTTTCAAGTCCGAATCCTGCGGCCCGAAGCCATAAACCATAAAACCCAAGACCAACACAAGGGGTCTGAATCATTACCCAGACTATTCCGTACTATTCCTCAGGGCTCCTTATTATAAGCATCTGAAAGTGTACCAATAACGCACCCAAAAGCCCTATTCTGATTCTTGCGGCTCCGATATTTTGCCACACGCCCCAAACCTATCGACTCAGGCGCGGCCTGAAGAATGCGCCCTCTAACCTCTTAGAGCCCAAACCCCTCCACGGCTTGTGCGAGCAAGTGACAAAGAGCCCTGCCAGTCTGATCCAGGTGCGGTGACGGCCTTACACTTACAGTAAGGGTGTTTCTTGCCTCTGGGTTTTGGGGTTTAACACTTCCTTCAAGTTTTCAAGCTACGAGGTCGGCTAAACTCCCGGGTCACGGCGGTCTAGGATTCAGAACATAAACTCACCTCGAGGGAAAGGAGACTGACTGTGTCTTGTTATAGGCAGGGTAACTAGGGTAACACGCACTATATCCTCCATTGAAACACTAATAACCCTATTTGCTAAATCACCCCAACCTCTGTTGACTCCTGACTGTTAGTTCAGCACAGTCGCAGAAACCTTCCCAAGAGGACTTTCATCGTGGCCCTCGAAGGCCAGAGACCACGCAACTCGCCAACACCCTGTGGCCAGGACCGGCCACAGCGTCGATGTGTCCCACTTCTCGTCGCCCAAAGCATGGCCAGGCCTCCGAAACTCCGCGAACATCGAGAGCGCCTCCTCCCATGTCGAGCTCGAGCACTGCGAGCACTGGGCTGCCTGCTCCTGCACCGTAACCTCCCAGCCCCGGGTCCGGGCCTCCCGAAGCATCTCGCAGGCACTCTCCCGGCTCGCAGGAGAATGGCTTAAAGCCTCGAGCGCCGGTAGGAGCTCAGCTCTTCGGAGCTTGGATCCCTGCCGAAGCACATGCAGCGACTCTCTCCAGTAGGCTGCCTTGACCATGGACCGAAGAAACTTCGGCTTGGTGTCGAAGCTCTTTTTTAAGAATGGCAGCAGGGCCGCCCCTTCCTGCCACTTCAGCCTGGCTGCGCAGGCCATGACGACGCTGGCGTGAGAGATCGCGCATGCACGGAGGCGCTGGCCGGGAAGCTTCGCGAGCATCCGAAGTGCCGGCTCCAGAGCCGCACTTCGCTGACATGCGGCGAAGACAGCTGACAGAGACACCCGATCGGCTTGCAGCCGAGACTGGCAGAGATGGTCCAGCTGCTGGACTGCCAAGGCCCAATTGCCACTTTGCTTTGCACCACGGCTGGCCGCTGCTATGGCACAGTTATGCAAAGATAAGCTAGGCGGGAGCCTCTCCCGAGCCAGCCAGTTGCAGAGTTGCAGCGACCAAGACCAGGCTCCGGCCCCTGCTGCTGCACGATTACACGCGGCCGCTGCAGCTGACAAAGGCCCAGACTCTGGGAAAAGCCTCCAGCATCGCATGAGCTGCACCACTTTGAGTGCTTCTCGCCACTGGAAGGTGCGGCTGCACGCAGTAATGGCAATCGCGAAGCTGATCTGGTCAGGCACCAGAGCCCCGTGCTCCGACCTCGAAAGCATGTCCCCCAGCAGCTCGAGAACCCGAGGCCAGCCGTCAGCTCGACACCGAAAGACAGCGGAGCCGACGGCATTGCTCACATTAACGAGCGGCAGCCCGTCCTGCCGGGCGCGGGAGAGGACACAAAGGGCACCGTCCCATCGTCCAGTGGTGCGGCATGCATCCGCGGCCGCCACGTAAGGCCCCGAGTCGACTTCCAGCAAAGTGCGCTGAAACTCGAAGAGCAAGGCCAAGGCCGTCTGCCAAAGCTGCATGCGCCCAAACCTCCGGACAAGCAATGCCAGAATGTGGCTTGTGATGCGGCGGTTGAGCCGCAAGTGGAGAGTCAAGTCCACGAGCTCCTGCTTTTCAATGTACTTCGCCTCGAGAAACTCTGAGATTTGCTCCAACGATGGGGGTTTGGCATGAAATCGCCAGGTCGGATGCCAGTCCCGAGTTCTGCGCCTCCTTCGGAATCGCCAGCTCTTCCGTAACTTCCATTGCTGGGACTCGCTGTCCTCTTTCGGCCACAGGATCCAGGTCTGATCCCTCAGAGAGCTTCGTAGCTCACGAAGCCCATCCTGGCAGAGCATAGGCACAGCAGCATGAAGTAGCACTGCTCTTTGTAGTATTTGTGTAAGAGGCCCGCAGGTGTGGGGTCTCTCGATCGAGCTCGGAAAGGCCGTGCCAGATATGCAAGGCTTGGAAGCTCTGTGGGTTCTGAGATTAATGTGGCGTTGCTGGGGCATTGCCGCAACAACAATTAGAGAAATTATGCTCCGCTGCTACACAAGGCACCATCATTAGACAACTCTCAAGAGCCCGGAGCACAACAGAAACGATTATTCAGGCAACAGTCCAACTAGAATACTAGAACCCACCCAAAACGTAATAAACTCCGGCAGTGAAGTCGACACTCGCCGAAAGCCTAGAGTCACAAGTATCGCTGGAATAGAAACACTTACATGTCGGATGCCTCGCAGGGGCCGTAAGTTGGGGCCTTTTGAAGCAACTGACATAAGCTCCGTTCTCATTTCTGTGTTTTTGGTTTGTTGCTACTCAGTAGAGGAGACCCGGGAGCCGAGGAGTTCAAGGGCGGACCAGAGAGATCCATCAGTAAGCTCAGGAGTTCCTCCAGATGCAGGCAAGGGTCTTTCGAGTTGCGCTGCTTCTTGTACCACTTTGTGTAAAGAAGCAGCTGGTTTCTCCGTAACAACATACCACCCATGTCTCCGATAAGACTCTGGACAAATTCGCATGCAGCATCGAGGTTCGCCTCCGCGAAGACTTCTCGACAAGCCTGGAGGCACTGCTGCTCGGCGCTGGGAAGATTAAACTCATTTCCATGACAACGAGAATGAGATATCCGTGGTTACCAGTCATTCTACCGCTGCGGAGCTTTCCCTCAAGATTGACCCAGACGCATTATCGGTGAGAGGGCGCTCCCCTCCCAAGTGAGAGATCTGCATCATCTGCAGCTGCTCCTCCTCTGCTTTTGCACTCTGCACCTCACAGGGGCAGCATCTGCATTGAATCTGAACAGCACTGGACTGACAGCATCAGCACTGCTACATATCACTAGTATTCCACTACAACTATAGTATGATAACTCTTACACGCGGAACTTGCGGCCCTGAAAGGAGGCTAGCTGAGGTTGCAGGAACCCTGCATGAATTATGGCAAAAGCAGAAGATATTTGGTAGAGTCGTGGAAGCTGCAGCAAGTTATCCAAAGCCTACAAAACCTTACAAAGAGCTGTCCACTACCTCTAGAAGCCTGAACTATACTGCTCGCACTCCCAAAGCTCCAAAGCGTACTCCACCCCTCTCTCAGTCACTGCCTCCAAGAATTGCCGCACGCGCTCGTGGCTGGGGCTCTGCGCATTTCTTGCTTGGAACCATACTTTTCGGAGGCCGCTCTCCCGCCACCTGTCGATGTCTTTCGGGGTTTGCCGTTTCGGTTTTGCCTTTGAACGACTTCAAGCCCTAATCGACAAGCTCTGCGCCTCAGACCCCAAGCCCCGAACCCCCAGACTCGTTGAGGTCCTTGACCCTGAATCCGAAAATCTAACCCTCGCGCCAGGACCTGACCCAGAAAGCCACAGATATATATGTGTATATACATACTAAACTGAATCTATGTAACATGTTATGGGGAATTCACGCTCATGAGAGCCCTCGGGCCGGTGGCCTCCAATTCAGTCGAAGCTTGACTCGCCTGGGCAAGGGCAAGAAGAGCAAAGCAGGTAGATGAACATGAACATGATTATAGTTGTACGATATGTACATATACGTATATACGTATATGTATATATATATATACACACACAGATATATATATATATAATGCGATCCATCAATCTATCTGAATCTGTCTATCCTATCTATCTACCTACCTACCTCCCTATCTATCTATCTATCCATCCATCTATCTATCTACCTACCTACCTATCTATCTATCTATCTGTGTGTGTGTGCACGAGTGGCACAGCAGCAAGGGAGTCGTGATTTAGGTGACGTGAAAATGCGAAAAAAAAAACACAGATTGTTGGAAGCAGGGCGATACAGACATGGCATGCTCGGCTACGCGGATGCAGTTGCTCCTAAGGAGCATGTCGGACCGTGCCCCTGTGGGAGACAGCAGGCTGCTCCATCAGGTAGGGGAACCATCGCGGGCAAACGGTGGCACGAGGATTTATTACAGGGTGAAGCATCTCCATGCCGAACGTTTCGACTCTGCTCGTTGGACATGCCTTCCAGTATGCATCTTCCGCCCCCTCCATCACGCATGAACTTGCAGCTGGCTCGAGCGTTTGTCAAGTGCCGGTGCACCGCATCAGCTCGCACCCCTTCTTGGGTTCGGTTGCAGCTGCACCGCCGCGATCTTCGATCTCGTGCTCCGTCTTGTCTGTGCAGTCGAGCCACGTCAGGTCCGGCTGACTTTGTCGACGCGAGCCTGGGCCTGGCCGCCCCGGGGGTTCCGGATACGGCTCCGGCATCCGCAGAGGCACGACCATGCGAATCCGTGCGATGCAAACCACAGCTCCTCGTAGGTCGAGAACTGGGTCGCCCGGTGTTGTCACCTTAGGTCCCCGTACGGACGGCAAGCAGCGTCCCACGCATCCTCTTGATCTCCCCGAGGTATCCCGTGACCAACTCCCCGAAGTCATCTCCAGGCATGGCCTTCACCAGCCGCGGTGGGAAGTGACGCTCCTTCAGCAGGCCGTAGACCTCGGGCTGCTTTGCAGCAGAGCCATGCGGCGGGAGCCTCTGGCGCCGCAGGCGTGCAGGAGGAAGCTCCGCCGCCGGCTGCTGGCGCTTCGGCAGAAGCTCCCGCGGGCGCGCTTCGCTCCGCATGGAGCCTCCTTCGCCTGGAACGGTGCAGTGCCAGGAGCAGATGAAGCGGCCGGTTCGTCTCGGCCTGCCCGCCGTTCTTCGTGTTCCTCATGCGGCGCCGGGGTTTGGTGGCTTCATCGGTGTCATCAATGCAGAGCTCAAAGCCCTGGGTCTTCCGGACTGTCACCTGCATGAGCGCCCAGCGGCAATGTGAAGGTATGAAGTCCCTCACCGACGGACACCTGGAACCCATCGCGCCCAGAAGGGGTGGCCAGGCTAACGAGCTTCGGGAAGCGATGGATCTGCCGACGAACTTTATGCTGTCGCTGCCGGTCGCGTATCACGAGGTGAGGAAAGCCGGCGCACACTCCCAAAAGCTACCCAGAACATCCGCATGAATGATCGCCCACATAGTTTTCTGGCCGGCGCGAGACAGAAAGCCCTTTACTAACAAGCGTTCTGGGCTCTCGCGACTTGCATCTGAAGCGAAGGCTCTGCAAAAGTGTTCCAGCTCCAGGACACAGTGCCCGGGAAAGAACTTTGCATTGGCTACCTTTCCCAGGCCAAGTTTTCTCAGCCCCGACGCAATCTTCCCCAAAGGCCTTGCCATGTGGACTCAAGTCAACGATAGGGCTCAGTGGCACCAGCTCTGGCGGGCAGTTGCCCGTCTTGTCCGCTTCAACCACCCTACACTGCAAGCCAATCCTTTTGTGCGGTCGTCCTTGCACCACCATCACGATCCCTTCTGTGATCTTGGCCACGTCACCAAGCCCGAGTTCGGTGTCGTAGATCCTCGGATAGACAGACTCGGGGGCAGTCTTCACCAGCGTCGCCCTGAGCATACCCAAGCTTGAAGAAGCCTCCGTCGGGAGGATAGCACTTGCAGGTCTCTGCGTCCGCCTCCTTTTCCATAGAGGTTCATCCTTGGTCTCTTTGATGATCGGCAGGTCCAGCAGTCCCTTCGCAAGCAGAACTCTATGGCCCATTTTGACGATGCCATAAACCTCCCAGAAGTGAGGATCCGTGGTGCCTCCAACGCGCCGTGTGCCCGGTCCTTGAGACAGACCAAGGCTGGTCGAAGTCTACGTCAAACTCCTCTTTCAGCTTGGGGAGATACTGCACAAGGATACCCCTGCCATTATCCAAACTCCTCCTTCTCCGCATCACCAGAGTTAAGTGCAGCGTCTGTGGCCGGGCCCTGAAGGCCAGTCGGCTGCGACTTATTTCTTTGTCGCCTCTCCTGAGTTTCGGCCGCTCGATGCTTCGTTTAGACATGGAGTTCTGCCACGACCTGCTTGAGGCTGGAAGAGGAGGATGCTGCATCGCCGTGGCTTTGCTGGAGCTTCTCTTGCAGCTGCATGTTCGCCTCTGCTTTCTCCGGGGCCACCTCTAACTTCTCGTCGGCCTCCTTCGCCATCGCAGCGGAGTCTTCTGCGACTTGTGTTCGGACTGACGCTGTTAGGCCCCTTCTTTGAAGGGTTTCAGGTCCTCCAACTCAGTCAAGTCGTGGAGTTCGGACTCGACCTTTGGAGAACTGGCGCCTTCAGGCAGCACCTCCTCCTCTTTCTCCAACAGCCTGGCTGCCTGGTGACCCGATGTAGGTGCCGGAGAGGCGTGCAACCCCGCGACATCTTCGAACCAGGACAATGGCGAACCTCCCGTGGCAGCCATTGCCATGGACCATGTGGCGGAAGCGAGTCAGGCTTAGAAAACGAATCTTCCAGCGAGTCGATATAAATGTATGATATGTTAGTTGGTGCTGGCCTGAGGCTTCGCCGATTGAGGGGTTTCGGTCTGTTCTACTTGGGAACTTCGGCTGAACATGGAAGATCGAAACCACAACAGAACTTGAAAACACAACACCCAACACTCACGACACGAAATAAGAGCCACGCAGGCACACAAGGGCGGACGTCTAAGAAAGAGGAGGAGTCCTCTTAACAGCTTCAGCGCACAAAACTCTCGAGATGCCCCGCCTGGAGGCACTCTGGTCCGATGCCCAAAGGATCCTTAAAGACGCGGGTTAGTTTCGTCTTCAAACTGCCATCGAATCTTCCGAACTGCTGACTCTGTGACTTACATTGACTGCTTTTGTGTGCTCGACGGCCAAAATTCAACAGAGCATCACGATGTGCTATGACCACTGCTGGTTAAGTGCTGCTGCTGCTGCTGCTGCTGCTGCTGCTGCTGCTGCTGCTGCTGCGTCGACCAACCAACAACGACAACTAGCATCAATACCACTGCACCGACTCAACTTACTCCTGCTGCAGCCGCTGCTGCTGCTACTGCTGCGACTGCGACTGTCTGCACCTGCCACTGCCACGCTACTGCCCCTGCACTGCCACTGCCGCTGCTGTCGCTGTCGCTGCTACTGCGACGACGACAAACACATCGCTTGAATTGAGTCCACAGCTGAATCTAAAGGCACCGTGCCACTTGTCACAATTCCGAAACCTTAGACGTCTCACAGAGGATCCAGGTCTGCTCACGCAGCGATTGCTTCAGAGCTGGTAAGCCGTCCTCGCGAAAGCTCCACCGCTTTGTCTCTTTGCTATCTGCACGATACGGGAGTGCTGCCACGGTGATGGTGAATCCAAAACGCTCATATAACGGTCAGCAGCAAGGGCAACAGAGGAACAAGGACCCCTCGCAGCAACTGAATTCCACTTTGTATAAAGCTAAACCCCATACTCCCTGCGCCAGCACCTGACCCGAGATTGCAATGCTAGAATGTCCTGCCAGTGCTCATTCCGGGTATTCCGGAAGTACCAAGCACTGAAGGGTCGCAGCTGGTCGCGCTTCCTTGATTCAATTCTCACGTGCTTCTTTGGAACACAACAACCGGCGAAGCTGCAGGTCGGTAAAGAGGCTGAACTACCAGATCTCGATGCTCAAAGCGAAATCCAAGTTGCAGAAGATGGCCACCCATGGCGGCGACAAGTCTTTCCACGAAGTGACACTTCGCATCCTGAGCCAATCCATCGCAGGGAGAACGAAGAAACTGCCTCGCGTGAAATGATTCGCTTGCTCTCGCGACTCTCAGTAATAAACCAAAAGTCCTGGAGATCCCCTTCTAGAAACCCTGAAAGGGACCCTTAGAGTATTTCGTCAAGTACTTAAACCCTACACCCTAGAGATCCCCTCATCGAAACGAACCCTTAGAGCGAAACGACCGCCCAAGGTCAGCGTCCCCAGACGCCAGAAGCTGGCGGTAGCCACTGACGGTCAAGGGCACCGTGACCGCGCCCCCTCTGGCTATATCCTGTTGGCGGGTTTAGGGCTTATCTCACAGCTTGGGCAATCCGGGCGATACACCATGGAGACATTGTCACACACGGACAACAGACTACAATATGTTCTGAAGGCAGTGGGTTTCGACTCTCGCACACGCGCAGGGCAGGCAAGGGTTCACGACAGGTTTATCGCTCCGGCGTTCACACTCGCACAGGGCGTATCGTTTAGGCTGCTGTCGTTCGGCGTCCCTTTAGGGGCTGAAGGTTTTGGCTCCTTCTCACGTTGCGCAGCTTAAGGTTTAATGGCGGTCAACAGACTGGCATGCAAATGTAGCTCGGAACATCCACGACATGCGACGTAGCTCGGAACATCTTCCCCGAAACTGAAACCCAGAGACTCTACCATGTCTTAATATAAAAAGCCTCGTCTCAAAAACTTTAAAACTTTCTGTGACCCCCCTCGTAGAATCGTAGAACCCTATAGTATCCTGACTAGAGCCCCAGGAAAGCTCGCCCTGCTCTCCCCTGCCTTCCCCTGGCTCAGCCACTGCGAGACCTTTGCCTCGACCTCCTCGGAGCTCCTCTTCGCGGCCCTGGCCTCGGCCCCCCAAACTGCTTCGGAGCTTCGAGGTTTAGGGCTTTAGGGGTTTAGGGTTTTTTTTGGGGGGTTTAGGGTTTAGGGTTTAGGATTCTTTTTTGATTTAGGGTTCAGGGTTTAAGGTTTAGGGTTTCGGGCTTTTGGCTTCGACTCACACACTCGCACAAGGCTGGCCTGGCATACAGTGTCCGGGCTTGCTACGGGGACATGCCACACATCAACTGACAGAGAGCGTCACAACCCAAGCAACTAGACAAGCTAAAATAAAGAAAATAGGTTTAAGGCTTAGGGCTTGAGGGCTCTGGGGCTTTTGCTCTCTAGCTTAAGAGCACTGGGAAAAAGGGTTCAGAGTTGAGGTCGCAAAGATTGAGGTCATCCATGAGGGCAGCAGGGGGAAATCTTTACCCGCGCACTCGGACAAGCCATGCAAGGTAGTATAAAATAGGGGCCGAAAGAATTACGTACTGTAGTAACATTTAGGATTCCATTTTCAATGCTTGTGATATAACCCAGCCTCACAACCCGATCCTATTCCAGCCATTGAGGCCCCTGTATTAGGGGGTGTCAGTGGCTTGCCGGGTAATCGACGTCACGTGGTGGATGGCTTCCCGGACATAGTGCCGACGCAGGGAGGATCAACCCCCGAAGCACTCAACCCGAAACCCTAAAGCTAGCTGAAGCTAAGCCCTATAATTTCACACTTTGAAACCCTGGTGCCGGGGCACTGTGCCTCAACTTTTTCCTAAACCGCGAGCTGCCCAAACTCTAAACTTTGAACGCGCAGCGCAGCTCCTAATAGCATGACGGCAGGCTACGACTGCATGTTTATTGCTAGCTTTTGCCGCAGCGCATACGGCAACTGCTTAAAGTGTTGTTCACCACGTCTGTGCGTCCTTCACAGTCCCAACCCCATGATCTTTCCGGAGGCTCTGACCCTCCTCAGCTCTACATGGGACTTCGCGGAGCGGAAGGATGGAGCTCCTCCTCTGTGGGAGCTTCGGTAGTCGGGGTTTCGGCGCTCACACTCGGACAATCCGGGCGAGGCATGTGGTTCGAGGTCCACTGAGAAGTGAAACGAAAGCGAGTTCAAGACCGCTAAAACAACACGAGCCCATACTCCATGAAACCTGGGCGATCTTCACCTCGCCGAAATCCATGAGTGTAGAACTAGTTTATGGACTTCGACGAGGTGTAGGGGTTTGGTGTAGGGGCCTTAATAATTAGAATAGGCTTTTGGGGTGTATGATACTATAACCATAATAACGATCCCCAAAAATAGTATAGGTAATCATTAAGGCTCCTATGGCCGTCTTGTTGAGCACCTTTGTCCATCTGCCTATCAGGTAAAGAATGGTAAAGCAAGCAGAAGGCTCATTCGAGCCTTCTAAGAGTTCGGCAGGGTTTTGGGCTTACAGAGGGTTTCGGAGCAAACGAGAGTCCGTAAGGTAGGGTGGTGTCACATTCCTCCTTTGTTGGACAAGGTTGGATCTTGGGGAGTCTCAGTATTGGGAATACTCAAGCCTGCAAGTTCCCACTTCTTCATGGATCTGCACTTGGTGGCGTTTCTCGTCAAACCGACAGAAACGGAACTGTGCTCGGACTGACCACGGTCCCTGTTGCAACTGGGACTAGCACGAATGCCAGCATCGGGAAGCTCAACACCTAACGGACTTGAGGACTCGTGCCATGAACACCCAAGGCCGCAGAATGCCGCCTCACAGTCCGAGAACCCGAACTCTTGAACTTTAAGCCACCCACGCACCCGCAAATTTCGCCTACACTATGAACCCGAAGGACTTCTTCCTCTGCTGCAGAGGCGAGCTGAGCAGTGCGTGGCAGCAGGAGGTGCCATGCTTCATTGCTTGCAAAGGCTGTCTGGGGATTCTCTGTGGGGCTTGAAGTCTGTCTTTGCTTTGAGGGCCGTTTTCCTCTGGGCTTCTCTAAACGGCGGACGTGCCCAGGCTGAAGGTGTAGAGTCTAGGGCACCTGAAACCCTAGACCCTGGACCGGTATTGGTTTCAACTCACACACTCGCTCATGGCTGGCATGGCTGACGAAGGTCGTTTGCGGCTTTGGTTGTTTGATCGCTTTAACTTTAGGCTTCAAGCCCGTTTTTGCTGTTTGGGATCTCCGCTGCTGCTGCTTGTGCTGATGCTCTGGCCTCGCGAGGGTTCCGTTTCGACCTGACGTGTAGCAAAACCAAGAGTGGAGCCAGATGCCCGCGGCTTCTGCCGACCACCGACATCCCAAGGATGCGATGCACATGTCGCCAGGTAGCTCAACATCCATCTGTCGGAGCATGGACTGGAAAATGACGGCACTACCCACCTCCGGCACGTCTCATCTAGGCTCGAGGAGCTTCTCCCAGGAAAGGTTGACACCGCTTTGCTTTTTTGTGGACACGGCTGCGGCTTGGGCTCAAAGTCGGAGCGCTCATGATCCTATGGTGACGCTTTGTCATCTTTCCTTCTCCTTATCGTGACGCTTGTCCCACGATCCCCGTCTTGTATCATGAGCTTGTTTGGGGGCCCATGGCTGCGAATCCATGCATGGGCTCCGGACGTGGACCAGCAGCAGTTCGGAGCGCTGAAAGGGCACGCACTAACAGGTTCCCAACAGGCAATGGAGCAGTGTCAAAAATTGAAGCAATCAGTCAGCTCTCACTGGTGTTCAACAACGGCAGACTCGAGACATCTCTTTTCGCAAGTTCCCCATGCGTCACTGCTTTGCTACCTGAGGCATCTGGGCGAGTGCCGCAAGGCACGCATGCGTTTGCCCGAAGACCACTCGCATGTTACTAATGGACCATTAGGTCGCTAGGGTACGTTGCGTGAAGAGAAAGAGCGCACTCCTCGTCCCAAACCACTCGATGAATCCATATGAACCCTCATCAATTCGCACAACCTGGACCGAATCGTAAAGCTGACCCGATGTCGAGGAGCCCAGCTCCCAGCCCCAGGGCTGCTGTGGCATCTGCCAAGCCGTCGACGGCATCTGAGCAAACAACAAAACGCTTTGCAGTCTTTGGAAAGTGTCGGCAATCAGCCGCATGCTTGCAATCATGCCGGCTAAGGATTGCGAGCTCCTTTGCAACCCATAGCCGAGACAAAACAGGCTGGCACGAGGACACACAAGGCATCAAGAAAAGAGAAAACGGATACCCTTCCTCCTCCCCTCCTGCCTTTGGGCGGATCCGGCAGCGGCTCCACATGCATGGATGTTGCACAACCTTGACAAGAGTTTGCGGCTCAAAGCTCAGGGTTTAGGTATGTGACGTCTTTACGGGTGAGTAAGTGCAACCTGCGCATCCCCGGACCTATTAAATCCGCGACTTGAAACCCTCTCTGAAATTGTGTGGCATCCCCACACCCCTAACCCCAAGCTTTGCGCAACAAATTCAGAAGAGGGTCCAACTCTTAGACTCCAAACGAGCATTCTCCCAAGCTCGTTTTGAACACCAGAACCCTTTTGAACCCCAGCTTTGGCACCTCGAGGGTTCACCGCATGCAGTGCTCCGCAGCAGGGGTAGCGACCGTCGTAATCGGGCTTTGAAATGTGGTAACGGCAGAACCTGACGGTTTTGGGGCTGGACATGACAGGATTATAAGTGCAGCGCTGCTGCAGGACTGAAGCTCGGGTCTACTGAGGGGATTCAAAGCTCTCGAGCATTAGTCTAGAGTCTAAAGATGAGAAGCCCAGACGAGACACCCCACGCAGACAACTCTGCCGCGGAGCTCAGCTGTAGAAACGAGGCAACCAGATGCAACGTTGCATGTGTAACCCCACTACCAGTTCGCTGACCCACCGTCAGCGGGTGGAACATGTCTCCAAGTGGTGTTTAAAACTTCCCGGATTTGGCGGCCCTCTTTTTGAAGCTGAGCTCTAAGCTGCTGACGACCCCGAGCACATGCATTCACCGAGTGCCGGGCTTTTCTTCAGCAGTGTTTGCCAAAGGAACGAAGAGCATCCCACCTCAGGTCTTCTTCACACAACAACCACCACAACAACAACAAGAACAACAACAACAACAACAAAATTATTACCCACGGAACCACACGCAAAATGCTGCCAGTGCGGGTGCTCTGCATCGCGAGCACTTGGTGTGGAGCTTGTCTTTCCTCCACGGGACCCATCGCTACCCAGGACAATCTTGATGCGGCAAGAACGAAGGTCCCCCGAAATACTCTGCAGCACATATACAACATGTTGAAAAACGGGTTGTGAAGTGCTGAAATAGGCCCAATAAACGGGGCGAAGCCACAAATGTCGAACTCAGAAATTCCTCCACTTTATGCGCCGTTTCAGCTCACCGGTCTCGTACTCCTCGATGTAAGTGCCGCCTGCTCAACACCAGGAACATACAGCTCCGGTTCCCATGCCCGTGATCCGGACAAAGACTGGACTGAAATCTGCCTGATCCCGTTTCGCACCCACAACTCAAGAAAGAGCATATACCTACGTTGACAAGTATATGTACACTTAGACACGCATGCATATACACACATATATGCATACATACATACATACATACATACATACGTACGTACATACGTGCGTGCGTGCGTGCGTGCGTGCGTGCGTGCGTGCGTGCGTGCGTGCGTGCGTGCGTGCGTGCGTGCGTGCGTGCGTACCTACGTACGTACATACGCCGGCAGGCGTTTGTATGGAAAAAACCACAAGACACGCGTGTACACTGATCCTACTCCTTCTACTTGTTCTTCAACTCCTACTTCTTCTTCTTCTACCCTCCCTCCCGCTCTACTACTACTACCACTACCACCACCACCACCACCACCACCACGAGGACGACGACGACGACGACGACGACTACTACTACTACTGAGTTGCGCCCGATCGCTGAGAGTGGCACGTCCTAGATTCATTCATGGAGAATAGAAAAGAAGCCTGCAAAATGCGGAATTGCTCGTTCAACTGCCTTCTTTGACGAGGGCGAAGTAGCCATGCCGCTTCCCCTGCAAGACAGGGCACTAGACACTAGTCACGGCTTCCTCGGGAACTCGTTTCTCCTAAGCTACAACACGACATAGCTTTCCGTGCACTGCTCCGCTTCCTTTGGTAACTTTGGTGGTCTTCTTTTCCTTCCTTCCAGCATGCCATCGTTGACGACGCTTTTTTAAATTTGGGCCCTACAATATCCAGCCATCGCCGGGTCATAGCACAAAGCAACATGCAAGTGTTGCAGCAGGACCTGAACCCAGGTGCCGTACCCACACCTTGGAGCACTTGGCTGCGGATTGTCGCTACCCATCACCCATCAAAACAGTCCTAGTTCGAGATCGACAGCGGGTGGACTCGCTTGATGTGTTGCTCGGCATGTGCCTGGTTAGGTTCCTCCCAGTCAGAGACAATAAAGGCCTTTCCAGTGACTTCCCTGTGCATCTGAGGCACTGCTCGACGCCATTCATGGTGCTCGCCCACATGCCAGGCCCGTCGGCAACACCGTCCTCGGTGGCACCCAAGAGTGGACCCAGGAAAAGATCCCGCAGCGGGGGCTCGGACAGGTCTCTATTTTGATCACCAATTTTTTGGGCATGAACTCGGCACGGAAACTCGCCTCCAGACATGTTCGACGGCCAAACCACACACCACACCATCAACAGATCCCGAGCAGAACCTGCAAGTGCTCACAACAAAAGTGCCAGTCCCAGTTGTGCGGCCGCGCGACGAGCCACACAGAGCAAGCCTGCATGAAGCCTTCGTGGTGCTCCAGAAAACCTGGACTAAGTCTGAGCCTCTGCTTGGGTCTTCGTGCCGAGGGCCGGGGGCTGATCGGACCCAACCACGAATGCCAATAACATAAGGTTTTAGGGTTTAGGGTTTAGGGCATGCAACATGAATCTGCCGGGTGGCCCCAACCATGTGGCGTGTGCGCACCCTTCCTTGGAGACGGGGCATCAGAGAAACCGTCTCCAGAACCCCTACTATGATCAGCCTCCGGGCAGCCGAGGAAGGAGGAGATGTTTGCAGTAAAACAGAAGAAGCACCTTGCCAGATGCCTCACATGCCGTACTGGCGGTGGCCTACGGGATTCTGGAGCAACTTCAGAGTCGGCGCATCCGAGTTCCTGGAACAGTCCTTCATGGGTCTTGTGGGGTACGCAATAGCAACTTCAGCCTGTGAGAATGTGGACGAGATTCCTCATGCTTATCGGTCTCGGAAATACTTGTTGCTTTGCCGGGGAGTCGAAAACCAGCGCATCTGACGAGGTTCAAGATGGGGCCGAAAGTCTGTATGAGGCCGGACGTTGGGTTTCTATGAAGAGCACTGGACCCGCCCCCCCTGTCGAACATCAGCTTCGTGCACAATCGGAGCAGAAAAGACACGAGGAACGCAGACCCACCCCGAGCGAAAGTCCGTATCACAACCTGGGGTCCACCGTTCCCGCCTTGACCCAAAAAGGGTGTAATGCCCGAAAAAACTTTTGGCCGCTTGTCCTATGACAACAAGCTTGACCAGGAGGTCTAAAATGTGCTAGCGCACAAACACACACACACACACATGCCCACTAAACAGATACAGATAGATAGGTGGATGGATGGATGCTGGCTGGCTGGATGGATGATTTGACAGAGAGAGAGAGAGAGAGAGAGAGAGAGAGAGAGAGGGACATGTAGATATACATATGCCTATAACTACATGTGTATGTACGTACATACGTACATATGTTCGGATGGATGGAAGTACATGTAAAAATGCATGTGCATGCACAGGCGCATGCGTGTCTCGTTTCACTCTTTAATTACTGCATGTACAGGCTGCGCCCGACAAGGACTCATTGCCTACGAAAGCGAAAAAAAGCGATATATATATATATATATATACATATCTGTA